TGCCAGGGATGTTGTTTCCTTTTTATTAAGAATTAATAACAGGCCGTGCGATGGTGGCGCATGCCTTTAATCCCAGCACTTGGGAGGCAGAGGCAGGCGGATCTCTGTGAGTTCGAGACCAGCCTGGTCTAGAGAGCTAGTTCCAGGACAGGCTCCAAAGCCTTGTCTCGAAAAACCAAAAAAATAAAAAATAAAAAAATTAAAAAAAAGAATTAATAACAGAAGTAAATGAAACAATATAATGAAGTTCCATGTACTCATAGTTTCAACAATTCACAACTAATAATTTTATTCTCTAATTCCTATTATTTTACTAAATTTGAGAGAAAATTTATGTACAATATAATCTAATCATTTAAAGGATATAATTTAATGGTCCTCACAATATTTAAAGTTCTGCAACAACAACTATCAATCAATGTTGGAACATTTTTATCATCTCCAACATATACCTACTTATATATATTACTACTTATATGTACCTACTTATATATATTACTTTCCTTATTCCCTGGTAAATCTACATTTTTTCTATGGGTTGCCTTAATCTGGACATTTAATATGAGCAGAATAATATGGTGACTGCTTCTTCTACTTAAGATTTTTTTGGTTTTATCTATGTTATAGTATGTAGGACTTTTGGGGGGGAAATGTAATTATTTCTATACCATATGTACCTGAGAGCAGAACAGCTGACATATAGGATATTTAGTACCAAAAGTTTTTTACAATTGCAACAATTTACATTCTTACCAATAATGTCCAAAGAATTCTTTCCTTCCACATCCTTGTCCATAATTGGTAGTTAGTTCTTTTAATTGTAGCCATTCTACCAGATAATTAGTACAATTTTCTTGTGGTTTTAATTTGCATTTCTCTAGTTAAACATCTTTTTTCATATGCAGACTGGTCAAGTGGATAGTTTATTTTCTTCAGATTCCTAGTCTTTGGCATACTTTAAATAGTGCTGTTAATCTTGCCTTGAAAATGACTTATAAGAGCAATAAAAAACTGATATGGATCTGGTAAGCACTGTGAATGTGCTGCCCCATTCTGTGGCTTTTATTTATTTAATTTAAAAATATTGTTTATTTATTAACTTATTTTTATTTTATGAATATGGGTTTTTTTGGTCTGAATGCATGTATATGCAGCACATGCATGCCTTATACATGAGGAGCCCTGAAGAAGGCAAAAGATCACCTGGAATTGTAGTTACAGACAGTTATTAGCTGCCATGTAGGTCTGGGAATTGAATCCAGGAGCTCTCCAGACCATTGGCTTTTTTTTTTTTAAACATAAGAATAGTGTTTTTAAAACATCACTAATATATGTTCATTACAAAAAATGAGTTTTCTTATGAAAATTTCACACATGTTCATCATGTAATGAACAGTATTTTATCAACCAAGTTCTTAACTATAATGGCATCCATTGATTGAAAATTAAAACACAACATACCCAAACTTATGGGATGTAGTGAAGGCAGTTATAGAAGGCAAGTTCACATAGTAATAATTTAATAAAACATCTGCAAGTTCTAGAAAACAAAACAAAAAAAACTTGCCAAAAAAGTAAATGAGATGAAATTATCAAACTTAGGCTACAGTCAATGAAACAGAGACAACAAAAACAAAATACAAAGAATGAGAAATAAAGAACTGATTTAACAAGAAGGACAAATTCTTAGCCAAATTAGCCAAAAGATGAGTAGGGAAGATCTAAATTAATAAAATTAGAGATGAAAAAGAAAGCCTTACAGTAGATATAAAAGAAATTCAGAAAATTCTAAGTATATATGTTAAATATCTCCATCAAAATTCCAACACGACTTTTCAAAGAAATTGAAAGAACATTTCTCCAGTGTCATACGAAAACATAAAAAACAGAATAGCTAAAATAAATATCCTGAATAATAAAAAAACTGCTGGAGGTATCACCACTGGTCTTAGTCACTATTCTGTTGCAGTGACGAGACACTATGACCAAGGCAACTCTTACGAAAGAACATTTAATTGGGGGCTTGCTTACAGTTTCAGAGATTTAGTCCATTATCATTTTGGCGGAGAATATGGAGGCACACAGGCAAACATGGTGCTGGAGAAATAGCTAAGAGTTCTACAAATAATCCACAGGCAGCAGGAAGAAAGCCATTGGGCCTGATTTGAGCTTTTGAAACCTCAAAGCCCACACCCAGTAAGACACTTCTTCCACCAAGGCCATACCCATTACAAGGCCATATCTCCTAATCCTTCTCAAGTAGTGCCGCTCTTGATGACTAAGCATTCATATACAAGTCTACAGGGGCCATTCTTATTCTGAAGACCCAGACATAAATCCATATACCTGTGGACACCTGATATTTGATAAGACAGAAATACATACTGAAAAAAAGACAACATCTTCAACAAATGATACTGTTCGGATGGTTGCATGTAGAAGAATGCAAATATTCATATTAATCTCCCTGCACAAAACTCAACTCTAAATGGATAAAGAACCTCAAATATAAGACCAGATTTTTTGAATCTAACAAAGGAGAAAGTGGGACAAAGTCTTGAACTCAATAGCTCAGGAGAACACTTTCTGAACAGATACTGTTAACACACACACACTAAGAATAACAATAAACAAGATCTCATGAAATGGAAAAAAATCTTCTGAATGGTAAAGGATATCATCATCCGGACAAAGGAGCAGATTACAGAATGGAAAAAGACCTTTACCAACTACATATCTAATAGAGGGTTAATATCTAAAATACATTTTTTAAAAAGCCTCAAAAAACTGGACATCAAGAAAACAAATGACCCGATTGAAAAATGGTTCCTATATATGTTTCCTATATAAGAAATACAATGACATCTTCCCTTGCTTGTGAGTCAGAAATTTAGATAAAGGGTGAGTACAACTCAATGTCTGGACTAGTGTCCTTTGCACAAATCAGAGATCGGAGTCTAGTGTTTATAGTGTTAAATGTGAATTTGACTACATAAAAATTCAACAGTAACAGAACTGACAGTTTGCCTTTCTCTACCTTACTCATTTTTATCCTTCCCCTTGGTTTATTCTCTGCTCACCACAATCAATAGGCTTTTATTTTCTATTTTCTTCTTCTATGACAATAAGATTTTCACTACTGAGTGAAAATTCAGTTTTAAATTACTTTTCACAAAGTAGGTGCTCAATTTTTTTTTAAAACAGAGCTGAACAATGAACAAATAAATGAAACTTATTTTGTCTATTGTATTAATTAAGCTGAATCAGGAAGGCTTTTCCTAGCCAGCACTAATATGTTGTTCAGCTTTGAGATGCTGTGTCTGCTTCAATAAAATAATAAGCCAAGCATATAATTTAGATTTTTTAAACAATTAATCTGACTTCGCCCCACAATGGTTATAATTAAGCCACCTAACCAAATCAATGATCATAGACTATTACCTATCCTAACCATTACTTTTTTTGTTTGTAACAGCTCTGGCTGTTCTGGAACTTGCTTTGTAGACCAAGTTAGCCTTGAACTCACAGAAATCTGCCTGTCTCTGCCTCCCAAATGGTGGCATTAAAGGCATGTGCCACCAGGCCCAGCTTCTATACTTTCTGTTTTGTTTGGTATTAATATACTCTAGCTACTTACTGACAAATAGTCTTCCACATAATCCAGAAACAGGAACAACATAATCACTATTTTAAGACCAATCACACAGTTAATAAAGAGTTATATTTAAAAATTAAATGGTTGGTTTTAAATTAATCAGTTAAAAGAACTATGAAGGAGGCTCAAACAACGTTTGAGAAAAACACACAAATTTGCTCTTTTCCTGAGTGCGAAAGCCCAAGGTTTAAGAAAAAAAGACAATAATAGGAAACATACGGAAAAGATTGGTAACAAAATGGAATCTTGGTACAAGCATGGTCTGCCACATTTCACATACCAATGTCTCAAATAATAGACTAGATGTTTACACTATTGCCAAAGCATCCTTGAAATACTGTATACTTTTCTCAAATCTGAAATATAAAAATAAGTCCTGGAAGTTCCTTATAAAGTCTAATAGAAAACACTATTTTAAAGAACTAAAAGAACTTCTCAAGCATGAAAGAAACTCCTTCCAAAAAACTCAACATTTAACGCCAGGAGACACAGCTAACTCTGTTTAACTATGAAAACATTAGCACAAAAATTTCTCCTGCAGCAAGCAAGCTTGCTGGCTGGAACTCTTAAGGAGGGTCCCTCAGCAGCAGGAAAGTTTCTAAATCTACTGGATGAAGTAGATGTTATTGGACAGCAGAAGCTTTTCATTCTATCCCACTGAAAGACAAATGCATTATAAAATTACTCTGTATACTGAGGGAAAATGCAGATTAGAGATATGGCTTCATAGTATAACACATTAACTTTCATAGTCAAGGGAATTCATTTCTCTTTTAAAATTTATTAGTAGCATATTTAAATGGAAAAGTTGTGCCTTTAATCTATGAAACCAATGCAATCTACTGCATTTTCAAAGTAAACTAGATGTGAAATGCTGTTTCCAGTTCTAATTCCTAGCTTCAAAAAGGGAAGCACTGATTTGATTGCAAGCCTCTGTCCACCCAGGGACCGGATACAATTCTGAATTCCACCTTAAATTGCTGAGACACTGGGCTCCAGGTCAGAGTGGACTTTAATCTGAGGAATTCTTTGGCATTAAAATGAAAATAAAAACAGTAATCAGTACATGCTGTTTCATTTAGTCTTGTTTGCCTTTCAGATTAGAGGAAATTCTTGCCACACCTCAAACCAAAATTAAGGAGTAAAGAAAGAAGTTAGCCACATAAATCTGACCAAGAGTACAAACATCTTAATTTGAATCCACAAAGTTTTGTATGATGAAAAAAAGTACACAATTTAAATTCAACCCAAGTGTTTCCCAAGCAGATTGTATTTGCTGAAATTGCTACAGTAATTCAAAGGACAGCCCTGTCTGGACTCAGAGTTACTGTGGATTTTTTAAGAAACTCCGTTAGAGAATTTAGGCATTTCTGACTCAGTTAAAGGATTTGCCAATTCATCAATCCCTGAATCTAAAGCAATTTCAACAGGTATGATGATAAAATAATTTTCAATTCTTAAAGAATGTATTCCTACTGTTATAAAAGTATATTGTATTTGTTTAATAGTAAATAGCAACTATCATAAAAGCACAATTGGGGGAAGCAAAAATGGTAAAAAAAAGTTACATTAAATTTTTGATTAGACAAATGTTCAAGCAAAAAGATCAATAAGGTGAGTTTAAATTTCTCATTTAAAATTACTCAAAAACAGTATTTGTTTAGATTCTTTTTTTAAAAAAAAAATAAATTTAGGTCAAACGGAAAGATACTTGGGTTAAAGGAATCAATCTCTCTTTAGTTTCTTGGGTCTGGTTTTCTGTACTTAGCTTTTTTAAAAAAATAACTTGTTTAACTTTATTTTATGTGCATTGGTGTGAAGGTGTCAGATTCCCTGGAACTGGAGTTACAGACAGTTGTAAAGTGCTATGTGGATACTGGGAACTGAACCTGGGTCCTCTGGAAGAGCAGCCAGGGCTCTTAAGCCCTGAGCCATCTCTTCAGCCCCTGTTCTTAGTTTTAAATGACAAAAAAACCTGCTAATGCTTTGAGCCACAGATCCAGGTCCTGAGGGTGAGCACAGTTGTAGGGAAAGTGTGCATTGCTCAAAATTTCTCTGCTGGGCAAAATACTGATCTAAAATGTTTTTGTTTTCATTTGTATCATTCTCAAAGAAAAGATATGAACATTTTATCCTATTATTAACGAATACTTAAATTTAAGTTAAGATTTAAGTGTATTATGGCTAAAAATAACAGAGACATACTTTAATAGCAAAAGATTTTACAGAATTAAACAAAGTTGTCTTAGACAAAAAACACATGTACAAATAATTTTTATTTACTGGTTTCTATAGCATATCAATAAAACAATTACATCTTTAAAATAGTAAAATGCTATGACGCTTTTACCTGTAAGTTTCCAGAACTAAGTAAACTATACCTCAATTCTGTTAATTTAGATTAGGACCGACATTGGTTAAAAAACATGAGTGCTTTTCTTCAAGTAAGATAAATGTTAGGATAAAGATACTTATTGTCTTATTTGCAAAATTCACATTATTGGATAATTTCTTAAAATTTACATTATTTCTTTGCTTTAAATTTTCTTCTTTACCGGCCGTTTTTCTAATAAGACAAAGTAATATAAGTGAGAATTATCACATATTGTTATAGAGAAATAAGTACAAAGGATAATAGCCACTTTCTCTAATTCTTTTTCATCTAAACAAACCACCAAGGTGAAATGCCTAGAGAAGTCAACATTAACAAAGAGAAGCGTTACTACCAAGATTACTCTTAATCAAACATACTAAGCAGAGCATTCCACTGATCTCTGACTACTTACAACCAGTGCACTGTACTTAGGCTTTGTTAAAAATTAGAGATTGAGAAATGAGAAGACAGTGAGTTACTGTGAAGTTCTCTGAGTTATACTATAGGACATAACACATAAATTGTAGAATATGGAAATCAAAGTTACAAACTAAGCTTAGCAAATAAATGGCTAACAAGAGACTCTCTGAGTGAAATGAAGTAAAACCATCTCAGGGAAAAGTATCACAGGGGACAAGAGAAAGACTAGTAAATGACAGGATTTCAGACTAAAAGTCACTGTACAGGGAAGCCTTTTGAAGCGTGTACAAAGAGACAACAAGAGCAATCTTTTTTATCTTTAGAGCCCCTTGTTTGTTTTAAGGCTTTTACCCTGACAGGCTGCCATGAGGTATCAGATCAGATTATTGCAAGATTATTCTTTGCTTTCAATTTCTCACAACTGCTGAGCAGCAGATTCTAATTCTAAAATGTTGCTAAATTCTAATTCTGAAAGGTTGTTAGCTGATGGCTGCTAATGGTCTTAACACAAGGATAAAGTTCAGATGAAGTGGATGCTCATAAGCAAGTGTAAGAGAACTTTAGCCCTCTGTGTTCTGGTCCAGTGCCACAGACCAGCTCTGCTTCTCGGCTTTCACTGCATATTTTGGGGAAAGAGCCTCTTAGAATGTATCTCTAGTCGCTGTATTGGGAATGAAATAGAACAGCACAAATGCTTTAAAAAGATACTATGCTATAATACAGCAAGTAAAATAAAATCTTAAAAATTTGAAGTAAGCCGGGTGATGGTGGCGCACGCCTTTAATCCCAGCACTCGGGAGGCAGAGGCAGGCGGATCTCTGTGAGTTCAAGACCAGCCTGGTCTACAGAGCTAGTTCCCGGACAGGCTCCAAAGCCACAGAGAAACCCTGTCTCGAAAAACCAAAAAAAAAAAAAAAAAATTGAAGTAAAATGTCACCAACAGGAGAGTGAAATGTATAAGATTTTTTCTAAACCCATTTCTCCTAAAGGGCCAAAGTCTGGTTCAAATGATGCCTGAAAAAGACCTCCCTATTTCTCCCAGGAGAGTCAACGCCTGATCCTGCAGCACTAATTATCCCTATTTGGTTATAGTTCATTTTATAGTGTTGGTCTCCTCTTTTAAATTGTTAGCTTTATAGAGGGGACCATGTCTTCATTCTCTATTTCTGTGTTCCCTAACAAGCACATTGTCTCACAGCTAGAAAGAACTTTTTAAAAAAATGTGACCTTAAGTAATCCAGTTAATCTAAGTACTAATATTTATAAAGGGTGGTACTAAGCACACACATACAGTATCTAACTGAGTAACCACAGCAGGGAAATGATTATCCCAAAGCAAACTCTCAGGGAGGTTCCAGCCTAAAGCAGAGTTGGCTTGCTCTGAACATGCCCATTGGGATGAAATCATAACTCATTTACTCCATCTCTTCTCAAGTCTCCACTAAGAACATTGCAGTATGAAGATCAAAGTGCAAATACACACTTAATTAAATTATGAATTCATTAAAAGAGTTCAAATTCCTTATGAATTTAGACTCTCAGATTCTGGCTCGTTGAACAGTCACCATTTCTAGGCATGTCATACTTCTAGCTTCTTCTACGCTGTTACTCACCTGTTTACTTGGAAGAAGACTTTCTTACTCTGTTCTTATAGAATTCTAAAAAGTTCTTCAAAACACAGTAATATACTATGTCCTTCATGAATTACATGATAAAGAACAATTGATGCAATATACTTAGAGTTACTTGAGTTTAAGAAAATCACATATTACTAAAGAGAGCAAAGTATTTCAATTTGGCACTTTCTTATAAATAAAAATAATGTGCAAATACAATTTATTATTTAAACCTCCCTTTTATTTTTTTAAAAAAGCAAGGTTATAATCCAAAAAGAATGGTGGGAAATGATGTTTTACAGCATTGAAAAAAGAAAAAAAACCAAAACAAAATAAAAAACAACAACAACAAAAAACTAGTAGTCTTGACAAGAGGGAAAGGAGATGTACTAAGGAACTGCAGCCATGCCATACTTGAGGTTGTAGCCAAGACTGAGAATGAGCCCAGTCAGCCTGGTTTTGTTTTTCCTTCTTCATATTCAGCTATGTGAGTCAGAATGAGAGCAGGGAGGAAACTGCCAGATGTAAAGAACTCAGAAAATTCAGGGACCATGCAAAGGAGTAATGAGAACAATGAACTGTAGTATCCCAGTAGAGGAATTTAGACTGCAGGAAGTATGGCTGGAGGCAGTAAAATTAGTAGCATCAACATACATTAGACTTCTCTGAAACTCAGGAACTATGTGTAGGTAGAGGTACTACCTGAAGATATGGTCAGAGTATACAGTATGTTCAAAATTGAGAATATGACTTCTGATAATTTAGCAGGCTCAGGACATGAGTTTACAGGAAGAACTGAGACAAATTATGGGAGAAAAAGGAGCAAATGGAGCTCCGTCAGAGAAATGACTGATGTAACTATTTTCTCAGTTACACCAATGCTGAAAAACAGGAGATATTGTTTTAGAGGAATAACTGTAAACAATTTCATTAACACACAGTAATGTTAGGGCATTTACCTGTTCATTCATTCATAAAACCCCTGGAGGAAAAAAGGTCTCAGGGAAAAAAAGATACATTTTTTTCCTTTAACATTTTTCTAAATAATGTTCATTTCAACTGTAGTTTTTTGTTTTTTTGTTTGTTTTGTAGGACAGTAGTTTTCAATTTGACAAGATATGAATATCTGCTGTGAGCCTAAGTCAGGAGACTTAGGCAGGAAAGACTGCTTGAACTTTACAAATTGGAGACTAGCCTAGTAACACTGTGAGACCCTGTCTCAAAAAAACAAAGAAAAGGAAAAAAAAGAAAAGAAAAAGTGAGATTTTATCTTTTAGCTGATGTAAGTAGCAAGACTAAGACAACACAAAGATAAGCAGGCAATCCATGGGGCTGGGAAGATAGACCGTCAGCAAAATTCTTACTTATCTTGCCAGCAGGAAGATCTGAGTCTCAGTCCCATGTTAAAAATAAATAAATAAATAAATAAATAAATAAACAAGTGTGGTGACACTTTTAATCCTAGCACCTGGGAGGAGAGATGGGAAGTCCCTGTGAATCACTGGCCAGTCAGCCAACACAGTAAGAGACACCTGTCTTAAAAAATTAAAAGGTAGATGATGCCAGATGAAGGCACCTTAAGTTGTCTTCTTGATTTCACATGCATGTATACACACACACAGTAATGTATAATTTAAGTATAATTACAAATTTCACTTTATTCTTTTGAAGAAGTGTCTTATTGTATTATTAGATTGGCCTCCAACTCCTGAGCTCAAATGATCTACCCCGATCAGGTGAAATTATATGCACATGCACATGCTCAGCAACTGCAATTCTTATTAATAAAGCAAGAGGCAGAAATGTTAAATGACAGAAATGAAATTCAAGTTTTCACCTCCTTGTTTAAAACATACTCCATCCTTATTCAAGTTCAACCAAAATAACTGTTAGTTATCTGTGAAGGTGTCACCTCACAATCCAACTCAATACAACATTCTCAAAAATGCAGTATACAGTTATTTTTAATATTCGTACATCCAGACCGTAGCTCAAAAATATTATTCAAAGCCAGATATAGTAATAATCCTTGTAGTCTCAGGACCTGGGAAGGGGAGACAAGAGGATCATAAGTTTAAGGACAGTTTCATTTAAATAGCAAGCCTAAGGGCTAACCTGGGCTCAATGAGGCCCTGTCTCAGGAAAGAGGCAGAGAAAGAAGGAGGGAGAAGAGGAGGAAGGTAGAGGGAGGGAAGTGGGGGAAAGGAGGGAGAGAAAAACTTAGCGAAAAAAGAAAGTCAGGAAGAAAACATGAAAATATTAAGCTAATGGGAATGTAAACTTTGCAGAATGTAAATATTGCGTGCACTTGAGGCTTTGTTAGAGTTACTCAACAAATTGGAGACAAAATAATTAAGATTTGAGAAACTATTTCAAGAAGAAAATATGAAGGTGTAGAAAGGCAGAAAGATACAAGAAAAACACATGATAGTGTTTTCTAAACAAGTTACCAAATATAAAAGAATGTTCTTTTGAAGAACAAGGAAAGGATTTCAGTAACAACAGTAGCAGGGAGCAAGATTTTGTTTCAATAAAAATTTTTAATACGCAAAAATCTTTAACTGTTCACAGAGGCAGCAACCATCACTAGCAGACAGAATGGTTAGAAAGAATGCTCAGCATTCACAGTGGAGTTGAGTGACATCACACTATTATTACAAACCTACAGTCTAGAAAACAAGACAACTGAGATTCTTTTAAGTTAATGACTGTATATACTACTGTGTTTAACACATGTAATCTCAGCACTTGGGAGGCAGAGGATTGCCTGTAATTCAAGGCCAGCTTGGTTTTCATAGTAAGTCAAGTCAGTAAGGGCTACACAGGGAATTTGGTCTATAAAAAACAAAGTAAACAAATGAAAGATAGTGACTACTTAGTAAAAAGTCCAGAACAGCACACTTCTCACTCCTGTTCAATGGCACATGTGACTCTTAATTTTACTTCATGGGCATTTAAACATTAAATTTTGATGTAAGCTTTGCTCATGTTTCCTGAATATTCTGTTATATATAGGTACCAGAATAATAAATCTTAAATGTGTCAATTTATATGAGAATTATTATTAATCATTTTTTTTCTTTGCAATAGGACCCCCCCAAAAAAAAAACCCAAACCCAACCAAACAAACCATGGGCTTTTTAAGTCCAATATATGTCCTTTTCTTCTGTTTTGGAGTTAGAGTATATTGCCAATACGAAGCTTACCAATGGGATGAAGAGTATGACCAAGAGCCAAATGAAGATTATGAGCCAGAATTCCAGTTTCATCAAAATATTGACTATGGTGTACCCTTTTATCAGAATATTTTAGGCTGTGCTAAGGAATGCTTTTGCCCAACTAACTTTCCAACATCGATGTACTGTGACAATCGTAAACTCAAGACTATTCCAAATATTCCAATGCACATTCAGCAACTCTACCTTCAGTTCAATGACATCGAGGCTGTGACTGCAAATTCATTCATCAATGCAACCCATCTTAAGGAAATTAACCTCAGCCACAATAAAATTAAATCTCAAAAGATTGATTATGGTGTATTTGCTAAACTTTCACATCTACAACAACTCCATCTAGAGCACAACAACTTAGAAGAATTTCCATTTCCTCTTCCTAAATCTCTGGAAAGACTCCTTCTTGGTTATAATGAAATCTCCAGACTTCAAACAAATGCCATGGATGGACTGGAAAACCTGACTATGCTTGATCTCTGCTATAATCATCTTTCTGATTCAGTGTTAAAAGAAAAGAACCTTTCCAAAATGGAAAAACTGATGCAGCTCAACCTATGTAATAACAGATTAGAGTCAATGCCCCCTGGACTGCCTTCCTCACTTATGTACCTATCTTTAGAAAATAATTCAATTTCATCTATACCAGACAATTATTTTGACAAACTTCCAAAACTTAATGCTCTAAGAATGTCACACAACAAGCTGAAAGACATTCCATATGATATATTTAATCTTTCCAACCTTATAGAACTCAACGTTGGACACAATAAATTGAAGCAAGCATTCTACATTCCAAGGAATTTGGAACATCTATACCTACAAAATAATGAAATAGAAAGTATGCAAAATTTTGCATTTTTTTAAAGAACAAAAGATTCTTTTCTGACTGGTATTTTGACTTGTTTTTTTTTGGGGGGGGGGGGCTGTAATGTTGAGACAAGGTTTCTACTATGTAGCTCTCTAGTTGTCCAGGAACTTCATGTGTAGACAAAGCTTGTCCTCAAACTCAAAAATATTTGCCTGCTTCTGCCTCCCTCGTGCTGAGATTAAAGGCATATGCACCAATATGCCTGATGAATTGTATTTTGACTCAATATAAAGAATGAATTATTAATCATCTATGCTTTATATAATGTTAAAAAAGGGCTTGGAAGACAGCTAAAGAGATGGCAGATAGTGGCCTGGGGAAAGGGAGTGACAATTTTATAGTCTTTTTTTGTTTTTGTTTTTTTCAAGACAGGATATCTCTGTAGCTTTGGAGCCTATCCTGGAACTAACTCTTGTAGAACAGGCTAACCTCGAACTCAGAGATATGTCTGCCTCTGCCTCCTGAGTACTGGGATTAAAGGTGTGCGCCGCCACCACCACCCAGCCCCTAATTTTATAGTCTTTTTTTATTCAACTTTACCACCTTGAATATTAGCAAGTAGTATTAGAGAGAACATCTGAAGACATACGACCTTGGGTAGTATGGCTGGTTTTTTTTTTTGTTGTTGTTGTTGTTTGTTTGCCTTTGCTTCTTTCTTTGTAAGATCGCTTCTAGCAATTATATATTTCCCATATAAACTGTAAATTCAATGAATTCATATTTATTTTGGTGATATGAAACTCAAGAATTTCATTTCATTTTAATCAATATAAAGATAATTAAACCTAACTCCACTTGTAAGTATTAAGATAAAATTATATCTCATATAACAAAACCCAACATGGAATTGTGACTATATGCAGGATGAATTTTTAACTTGTATTTTTCAGATATCAATGTGACAATAATGTGTCCTTCTACTGACCTACTACACCATCGCCATTTAACATACCTTCGAGTGGACCAAAATAAGCTGAAAGAACCAATAAGTTCATACATCTTCTTCTGCTTCCCTCATATACACAGTATTTACTATGGTGAACAAAGGAGCACCGATGGTGAAACAATACAACTAAAGACCCAAGTTTTCAGGAGATATGAAGAGGAAGAGGAGGAGGAGGAGGAAGAAATCCATGATGGTCAGGACAACACTTTCGAGGGACAAGAAGTACCAGAACACTTTAATTCTCATTATTATGAAATGCAAGAATGGCAGGAAACTATATAGGTATCTATTAGGACTTCATAAAGCCATACTAATTACAAATAAACATATACTGCTCAAAATATAAATAGAAATATTTGTTAGTATAAGACCAGAATTGCATTTAAGATGTTGGTGACTTAAAGTTTACTAAAAAATGATATAAATATTAAGAAATATAAGATAAAATGGCAAGTGGGAATAAAACTAAGCTTAAGTGGCTTCATTCTTTAAACTCATTCTTAAAATTAGAAATATATCATGTAAAAAACAAGGGCCAGCAAGATGGTTCAGTAAATAAAGCATTTGCCGCCAAACCTGATCACTCGAGCAGGAGAGACCCAACTCCTGCAGGTTGTCAAGTTTTCCTCTGACCACATGTGTGTCTGCCAATAATAATAATAAATAATAATAATATATAAAACCATCTGAATATGCCACTTCCAATGATGGGATTTTTTTCCCCCTAGGGATGATAAACTAAGTATCATTAACAGTGAAGACAAAAGCTGCCCTCTGGACCATAAGAGGATATCTGAGCAAGAGGAAGGATATTAACCTAACAGTAGTGTTTCATACAAGAGAAACCACTTTTACTAACTTTATCTACAGAGTTGCTTCCACATTTGTATTTTCTCTTTTTTTCCCCCTTTGGTTTTTTTCGAGGCAGGGTTTCTCTGTGTAGTCCTGGAACTCACTCTGTAGATCAGGCTGGCCTAAAACTCAGAGATCCATCTTCCTCTGCCGGCTGAATGCTGGGATTAAAGGGGTGAGCCACCACTGCATGGCTTATTCTTTTTTTTCTTTTATTTATTTATTTTTGGCATACTTGTATTTCTTTTTTCTTTCTTTCTTAAAAATTATGTATCATGTATAGTGTTCTGCCTGCACACCAGAAGAGGGCACCCGATCTCATTACAGATGGTTATGAGTACCATGTGGTTGCTGGGAATTGAACTCAGGACCTCTGAAAGAACAGCCAGTGCTATTAACCTCTGAGCCATCTCTCCAGCCCCACATTTGTATTTCCAGTCCCAGTAAGATATGTGTCCCAGGTTCAGTGCTCAGAATGGTATTTTTGACTTTCAAAGTCACCATCCTAAGATCTAAGGCATACAACTCAGAAATTAAGTCTTCTTTTCTCAGAGCACCAGAGCAACCGAATTATCAATTCTGTATCTGCTGTATTTGAATAATTAAAAAAATCAAACTCCCTAAGAGCAATCTATATTTTAGGAGATTTCAACAACTATTCAAAATACTGTATATCATGTTCCATTTTCAGATGGATTAATGTTTTATAGTAATCTGGGAAAAGGCCTCATAGTTACATAAATCCTTGCTAATAACTGCTTTATTCACAGGTTACATTAATGTTGATAAAATAGAGTCTTTACATATTATTAAACCTTTCTGTTTTCCTGGCACCAAATAAACTACAAACATCTATATTAGCCAGTATTTATTTACACGCTGTTGAAGTCGACTATAGTTCCTCTGAAATTTGTGGACACACAGGTTTCAACATCACCTCTAAAACCTTAAAAGTTACTTGTAATTGCATTTTGAAACATTTCAGGAGAACCAGCGAACCTTAAGGCCTGTGTCACAGGGAGGCCTAGCTCATCCCACTAGTATTTGACTCTTGGGATTCACTCTCTTTGTGCCACAGTTGCTTTTTGTATGCTCTTTCCTGATCTCCATTTTGAAGTATTTTAAGTGTGCTCTATGATGAATATTCTAACTGTTGTAGAACTCTTATCTACCCCAGGCATTAAGGATTCACAGAACTCCTGATAAAAAGGAACAAATGCATGCCAACACAAAGAATCCAAAAACACATGGCAAAAATTCCAGACAGTGTGCAATTAACAGATGAGTATACTATAATTTGGAAGTATTCAAACTTCTGAGTGCTGAGAAGCCTCTATTGTGTCTTCTGTCTTAGAGTAGGTTGTTAATATTAACAGAAGAGAACATTCACTTGCCCACAGGTGCAAACCTGACAATGCATAAGGAACACAAACAAAACTCCAACCATTCATTTCATCATCCACATCAAGTTATTATTTAGTGTAGAAGGCATAGCAGTGAGATCAGGAAAGAAAGCATAAAAAGGAACTGTGGCACAAAGAGAGTGAAGCCCAAGAGTCAAATACTAGTGAGATGAGCTAGGCCTCCCTGTGACACAGGCCTTAAGGTTCACTGGTTCTCCTGAAATGTTTCAAAATAAAATTACAAATTCAATTATTTATTATGACAAAAAATGATACTGTGAGTGCTAAGAGATAAGCAAGATCAGACAATTTTTCTGCTTCCATCATTTTAAAATTTAAAAAGATCCACTAAGGAAATGCAAATAAAAACCACAATTAAAAGATTACCTTTTTCTCATTACAATGGCAGCAAACAAAAGACAGGCAAATAACAAATATTGGTGAGAAGATAGAAAGACTGGTACCCTCACACACAGCTGATAAAAAATACTGTAGTTATTTAGAAAGCTCCAGTTAGGTATGAATCAGCATGTCTACTTCTAGGCATATGCTCAAAAGAACTAAACACAGGTTCATACCAAAGTTTGCTCAAGACCATCCATAGCAGCATTATTCATGAGTACAAATGAGAAAAACAGTAGCTGGGTATGGTGTCCCAAAGCTGTGTAATCTCGGCACTTGAGAGGAAGTTCAGGAGTTTGAGATTCTCCCATATATAGCAAGTTTGAGACTTGCATGGGCTAGACCCTGTCTCAAAATAGAACTGATGACGGGGTTTCCTTTATAAGTAATAAAATTTTCTAAAATTATTGTGATGATTATTATGTAACAACTTGAAAATACTAAAATGATTGAATTTGTACACTTTAAGAAGGTGGAAGAACTGAATGGGAATTAGTGTAACAAAGTATTTTAAAAAATCATGCAACTTGTTCTAACCCAAGGCATAAGCAAACAAAATGATAAAAAGTCAGAGATGATAAACCAGGTAACCATGGTCACAATAACTAATTTCTGGCCTGGACCTGGTTAAGCAGCTGAGACTTCAGGAAGAAGTGATCCTGTGATGTAGCAGGAACTAACCAGTGGAAGTAGAGACTAATGTAGAACAATGTAAAAAAGTAGTAATTACTTGAACTCTTGCACAGTTAAAAAGTAAAAATTCTCAATTTTATTATGTCTAGAGATTATTTCTTCATTTCTTTCTGTGGACAAAATTTTAAAAAAACCTCTTAATAAATGTAAGTAAATTGTCACAAAATCCCTCATGTTCAAACCTCTGAGGATGTAGGTCTACAATCTTTTTAGTATTATTCAAAAGTGCCACAGTGAACTCAAACCAACCTAAGGATTTCCTAGTAAACATAAAGCAAATAAAAAACTAATTGCTTTTCCTCAGAAAGACTCCTATGTATGCATCAGACACAGAGAATCATCTTGGTGTTTATGAAAGGAACAGAAACCACGAGAATTTGCTCTTCACACTGGAAGGTGGGTGTTTGATTAGATTACAAAAAAGGCTAAACCACTTGTAAGGACTGACAAGTATGCACACCAAACCAAAGAACCCAAGATTAGTCAACAAAATAAACAGTTGCTTTTAGAAAGAAAATAAAAAGGATCCTTCAGAAAAAAATAATATGCTCACAATAGTACTGTTGGAAAACATCTAGCCTGCATGTATCACCTAAAGCACAGATTTTTAACTTATTCCTCAATTTAGGGACTACTAAGCTGAAATACAGATGCATGCAGATCACATAACACATTTAGCCAGTTCCAGGAGGGAAGAAAGCAGAAAAAAAAAATCCTCATCTCTTTTTAAACTTGTTTGTGTTATAAAGAATTACTCTCTCCCCAAGGGCGGCTGGAACTAAAATCCTGGTTTCCTGATTCAAAATGCATTTTCCATCTAAATCTTGGAAATAAGTAAAAGAGCAGCTGGAAACAAAATTAGATCATAACATATAAAGCTCCAAGTTTCTGAGATGAATATAAAGAATCTCATGCCTAGTTTAAGTAACTATTTAGTAGACCAAGCACTGGTATAAGTAGCAAGATGTCACGCACACATCTTTCTTCACTGTAAGTGCTCAGGTTGTGAATACACTATACACAAAGATAAAATACCTTTTTAAAAAAGCACCAACGTGTCCTCACATAATCTTCTTCCCCTTTAGTCTATTAGGCACTTACACTATCATGTCTTTCAAGGGAACAAAAGATCTATGTTCACGTAAACACATGAGAGTTAAGAAGACATGCTTGCTATAAGGTCCGAGTCTAATTTTTTTTTTCCTTTTTTTCTTTTTCGAGGCAGGGTTTCTCTGTAGCTTTGAAATCTGTCCTGGGACTCACTCTGTAGACCAGGCTGGCCTTGAACTCACAGAGATCCACCTGCCGCCTCTGCCTCCCGAGTGCTGGGATTAAAAGCGTGTGCTACCTCAGCCCAGCGGATTCTAAAAAGTTTTAAGTATCTGGCAACTCAGGAGTTCTCCTAGGCTCGGTTTTTAAAAATAATTTCTTTTTGTTTATACTTATAACATCCGAGTGTCTGCCACATATGTGCAGGTGCCTGAGGTAGTCTAAAGAGGGACTTGGAGTCCCAGGTGGTGGTGATCTGCCCAAGTTGGGTGTTAGAATCCCAATTTAGGTCCTCTGGAAAAGCAGCAAGTGCTCTTAACTGCTAAGCCATCTCTCCAGCTGCCAAATGTTTGCTCACGTATCTAATAGCTATAGCGCAAACTAGGTGATGGCTAGCCTTTAGTTTTCTTAAGGCTTTTGTTTTGTTTTTATTCTAGAGATAAACTCTTGTTGTGTAGCCCAGGCTAGCCTAGAATTAAACAAACAACAAACCTGCAACCTGCCTGGCTCTGCCTCTCAGTGTAGGGATTAAAGACAGGTTCTCCCATGATTGGCCAATGGACTGTGCCTCCTTGGGCCTGGAGAGGTGGGTCGATGGTTAAAAACACTTGCTACTCTTCCAGATGATCCATGTTCAATTCCCAGCACCCACATGGAAGTTCATGACCTTAACTCCAATTCCAGGGCGTCTGACCCTCTCTTCTGGTCTCCTCAGGTATCGAACTTTCCCAAAATCGGGTGAGGTCATACCAAGGGAACCAAAGTTTTAAGAAGTCTCACAAGTACTCTGACTTTAAATCAGTTTCCTATGAAGTCAGTTGATGATGTTGAAGATGGAGAAAATAACAACCCACTAGATAGGTTATGGTTTCTGTGTACATTTTCTCTCTTCCTCCTTCCCTACCTTGCTTCTTATGCTTAATTTCTTGTCTCCGCAACCCCAGCTTTTTTTTTTCTGAGAAAAGGTCTCACTATGAGAACTTTGGCAGAAACTTAAAGAGATCTGCCTGCCTTGGCCAACACACACACAAACACACACACGCACACAGTGTGCCGGCATCTGTTTTTAAAAGCAGGGTCTCAAATAGTTCAGCTGGCTTAGAACTCACCCTGTAGCTGTGAATGACCCTGAAGTCCTGATCCTTCTGCCTCTATTTCACAAGTGCTGGGGTTACACAATGCCTGTTTTATGCATAGCTGGCAATGGAACTCAGGGCTTCCTGAATATTATGCAAACAGTCTATGAACTGAACTACATGCTAACCTGAAAACTCAGCTCCATTCAACACATTTTAATTGCTTACTGCTGAGAAACAATTAGGAGGAAGCACCTGGCTGATGAAGCACCCT